TAGCTGGCTGAGAAGAGTGTAAGGGTTGGGGACCGTTGGGTGGATGGTCTCAACTCGCTTATTAACCTCCCTGAGATCCTGGACAGGCTGGTAGTCATGGGTGCCGGGCTTCTGTACTGGGAGCAAGGGAGTATTCCAGGGGGAGTGGCAGGAAACTAAGATTTTTGCCTCCTTCAACCTTTGAATATGGACAGCAATACCCGCCTGGGCCTTCTGACTGACAGGGTATTGACGTACCTGGGCTGGAGTAGCTGAGCTGGACAGAGTCACTATAATAGGAAGATGATGTGCTGCCAAGCCAGGGGGATTTGTTTCTGCCTAGACACCAGGAATCTTTTGTTGGAATTCGGTTAATAGGGGGTTTGTAGGTAAGGCTCCCGGTGAGTTTATCAGGGGCTCCTCTAGCAAAAGATATTCCTCAGACAATGGGCAGGTGAGTAGAATGGTTGGTGGGCCTGACCTGACAGTCAATTCGGTATGCCCTTCCTTGAAGGAAATTGTGGCCTGTAACTTCTGTAGCAAATTTTTTACCCAGCAGCGGGTACAGGCATTCTGGCATAACTAGAAATGAATGGGTAATTGTTCCTTTTCCCAGATCTGTTATCCTGGCTGGGGTCCTTTGTCCAGTGGCCCCTCGTATAAGTGTCTTTTCCTTTGAGAGTGGGCCCTGGGCGCTCTGTAGGACAGAGTAGGTAGCTCCTGTGTCTACCAAGAAGTTCACAGGCTTGCCCTCGACTTGTAAAGTTACCTTGGGCTCCCGGGGGCTTATAACATAAGAGCCCCGACCTCCTCATTTTGCGTCCTCGAAGAGGACGAGGGGGGCCTTCTTCTTGGGGGCTTGTCCTTTTCCAGGACACTCATTCTTCCAATGTCCCTTTTTCTTGCAATATGCGCATTGGTCCTTCTTTAGCCCGACTCTCCTGGGTCCATCGTTTGCTCTGGGTGCCTGTCCCTGGCCTCTGCCTTTTCCTGTTGGTCCCTTTGGATTGGCTCCTTGCATGGTTGCAAGCAGGATCTTGGTCGTCTTCTTGGTCTGTGCTATATTTACCTCATCTCTATTGTTGAATACTCGTTGGGCTATCTCAACTAGTTCAGACAGGTTCTTTCCTTCAAACCCTTCCATCCTCTGCAGTTTCTTTCTAATATCTGGGGCCAACTGACAAAGGCTAAATTCACAGCCCTCTATTATTAGAGTCCTCTGGGTCAATAGGAGTATATAACCGGTACGACTTTAAAAGTCGTTCCAGGAATTCCGTCGGTGATTCATCCTTAGCTTGGATGTCCTCGCTTACCTTAGATAAGTTAGTGGGTCCTCGGGCGGCAGATCCTCCGGGTCAATAGGGGTATACAACCGGTACGACTCTAAGAGTGGTTCCAGGAGCGCCGCTGGGGTGATTCATTTAGCTTGGATGACCTCGCTTACCTTAGATAAGTTAGTGGGTCCTCGGGCGGCAGACCGGAGGCCCTGGAGCAGAAGCTGGTGATACCGTTGGAGAGCCTCTTTATCTTGGTTGGAGTTGGGGTCCCAAGGCGGACAGGTGTTCGGGAAAATATGCTGGATGCGGGCCGGATCGGTGGAAGGCTGCTCGTTGGGCTCTAATACCATCCTTGCAGCCTCCCTCAGGATTCATTCCCGCTCCTCTGAGGTAAACAGGACCTGGAGAAGTTGCTGACAATTGTCCCAAGTCGGCCGGTGGGTAAAGAAAATAGTCTCTAGGAGAGAGATTAATTCTCTGAGAATGAGGGGTTTTGCTGTTTCCAATTGTATAAATCGCTGGTGGAGAAAGGGACATAGACCATGAATGGCCTCTGCGTTTCTCCCCCAACCAGGGGTGCCAATTGCCGGAGCGAGGCCAGGACTGCTGCCTGGTTTGAGGAATCAAGAGCAGGGTCAGGGTCTTGTGGGGGCCGATACACAGCTCCAGTGTGCGTATGGGGAGGGCTCCAGAGAGGTTCTGCCTCCCGGATGGACGGAGACAGGAAAGGGTTACGAGGGGAGTAAGGGGGAGGAATAGTGATCTCGGGGTCCTCAGGGAGTTCTTGTAATACAGGGTAAAGAGAGTTAGGTGTCTGTCCGGACGGTTTCTCCTTTTGCCCCTTCAGTGCTGAGAGAAGGATAGGCTTGGGAGTCACCCTTGACTCTTGACCACAGCGGCAGCCCTTCAAGTACTTGGGGGCATCAGAAACGATATCGACCCACACATCGATATATGGAGCCTGATCAGGGTGGCCAGGATCTCTGTAGATGATATCTCGCACCTGAAAGGCTGCTTGCAGCTCAAGTGACCCTTCTGATGGCCACCCTGTTCCAAATGTGGGCCACTCTAACTGGCAGAACCTTTGGAGGTCGAAGGGAGTGACATTAGCTCTGTAGGCTTCGGCTCGTTTCTTAAAATCCTTAAATCGGTTAAGGAGGCACTGCAGGCGGGTAGGACGATTTGAGGAGGAAGCCTGACCCATGTTAGTAAAGATAGGCAAGAAAAGAGAAGATCCCTACAAAAGCCAAATAAGCCAGGGCTAGGATCAGCCTCTGACCTAATGCCTAGTCAGGCAGGGCCACGGAGGCCAGACTTAAGGAAAGAATCAAACTAAGTAAACTTATGAAGGCTAAAGCAATAGGAGGGTAACAGTACATTCAGCCGGTCTGGACAGACAGACACAGTACAGACAGACAAGACAAACTACAGGTAACACAAAACGCTAGCGCACCAGAAAACTGAATACCTGGAACGCTAGCATACCCCAAATCCTGAATACCCGAACCAGAAACCTGAATACCTGAAGTCAAGTCTGACATCTCAGATCTTGACCGAACTAGGGAAGTATTGCTGCGTCCAGCCTTCCACTAGTTTTCTTTAGGGCCCACTGACAGACAGATCCAAGTGCAGTCTTACTCACCAGTGAAGCTGCTCCAGATGGCTCGTGCCCAGTTGTTACAGAATTAAACCTTTTTGTCCACTTGCCCTCCTGGGCGAGTCTGCCTGGCGTCCGGGGCTGAGGAACGTCTCTCAGCGGCCATCCCCTGGATGGGCAGGTCCTCGCCCAAGGCGGCTGGAGTTGCGGGTCTTAGGAGATCTCCCCCGCCGGAGAGATCTCGCTGGGGCCTCCAAACGTTATGGCATGGACGATTCTAAGACCCACGGAGCCAATTGAGATTAATTATGAGCCTTTATTAGCCAGCCGGCGACTGACTCTCTACCACGCAGGGGTAGAGGAGATCAGCCCCGAGCTTCCAGAGGAGGCAGCTTATAAAGCCTCCAACTATATCCTTGAATAAGCAGATTACAAGAAGCAGAAGTTAGCCGTTAATGTTTTGTACAAAGATAAATGTATCCGGGGAACTCTCAGATCAAACAGGGCCTAGTAGACAGTTTTATTATCTGCACCTTGGAATGTTGTGCTTCTCCTGGGGCTGGCTTGACGACTGCGTCCAGGGCAACTTGGGTGTGCCCGTGCGGACCCAGGTGAGAAGGGTGAGGGTGAGGAGGGGAGAAGGCAGGAGGGAGTGTGCTAGAGGCTGCAGACTGAGCCCACCCTCCACTGCCCAAGAGGTGCTGGTCTACTCATTGTTATGAAGGTGCCCAGGGAGGAGCTAGGCAGGAAGAAGGACAGACAAGTTACTGGGGGCAGGACTTTCCAACCCCCAGCACCAACTCCTTCATGGTGCTGAAGGAGCCAATTGCCTCTGCAGGTGTGGGCTCAGAACAGCTGGGCAGCTTCTTTTAGCAGACCCTGCCTGGGAGTGCTGGGGGTGCCACTTCTGTTTGGCAGATGGGGACATCCCCTGCCTCTTTCCTCCCCCTAGGAGGGGGCAGTGGGATCTCTCTCTTGTTTCCCTCAGATCCTGCGGCTGCTGCCCTGCCAGGAGGCTGAGAGGCAAATGGATAGGGCCGGGGAGTATGGCCACACTGGGTGAGGGGGCACTCAGCGATGGGAGGCTGTTGCACAGGGAGCATGGGCTCAGATTTGGACTTTAGAAATCCTCTCTGTGCTGTGTGGACCATGACCGAAGGCCTAGGGTGGAGGCAGGGCAGCTGGTCTGGAAGCTGAGGTCCTTCATGCCATCCAAAAGCTTGGTGGTGGCATAAAAGATGCAGGAGGTAGAGCAGCAGCATGACAGCACTTGGCGATGGAAGGATGGGGTTAGGATGAGGAAGAAGAAAGACTGCAAGGGATCTGGCCTGAGGTGGGGAGCTCTGAAGGAGGGCAGTTGAGGGAGAGGTGACTTTAAGCTGTCTGGACATTTCTTGGTGTGGAGAGAGGGGAGACCTCGGCTGGGGGTGGATGGGCATGTGCACGTGCAAATGTGTGTGAGTGTGATTCTGTGTGTATGTGTGTCTTGCAGGTGTAGTGGGAGAAAAGACACAGGCTTTAAACACCTGAAATGTGTGCCTGCCAGCTGGTCTCCCAGCCCCACTTGCCCATGTCACCTCAACTTGAAGGATTGTGAAAGCCACCCTGGCTTCCTCAAGCAGGTTTCAGGTCTGCCCTGGAGGGAGTGATTGGCCGTAGCCAGAGGAAGGGAGCAAGAGGTGGGAGTGTCCACAAGCTTGCAACACCTGTGAAGGAGGAAGAGGGCCAGGCTGGGGAACCTGCTTTTGGAAAACCCACAACCAAACCCCAACGGTGACACGGCCCACCCTGATGCCACTCCCCAGAGTCCAGGACGGTTGGCAGCTTGGCAGAGCACCAGCTAGTGGTAGAGGAAGTAGGCTCTAGGGAGGGGCATAGACCTCAGGCCCCATTTTGAGGGGCAGAGCAAACCCTGGAGGCAGGCCTGAGGGGGAGGGCAGGTGAGGCCAGAATGAGGTACAGCAATGGCACTTGAGCTTTTTCTGGACCTGTACTTGACCCTGAGCTATGCCATCTACATTTTTGCTAAGAATAATGGCATTATGGCATCCGTTTCAACTGAAGCCCACGGAGCTGGCACGGGGTGAGCCCGGAAGCTATGAGGGCCCCAAGGAGGGGGCACTTGGGGCCAGATCCTACACTAAGCTTCCCCTCCTCTCTGCCTCCCAAGGAAGCACCCGAAATCAGAATTCCTGAAGGCGAACTCCCTGGAGAAGGTGCCTGCCCTCAGGGATGGGAACTTCCTGCTGGCGGAGAGGTAATGGTGACCCGGGGGACAGTCTAGGCTTAGAGCCAGGCTCTTTTTGGGTCTGGAGCTCAGGGTTGCAGGGAGGCAGAAAGCTGATAACCTCTGGCTTGGAGATCTTTCCAAAATGCTTCAGCCCCTTCTTCCTTTCAGCCGGCGCAGCTCAGAGAGCAGCGAGCTGGACCGGGGGGATTGCTTTGGGGCTAAAGCTGGGAGCTTCAGAGTCAGGAAGAGGCGTAGGTCACCCAGCCAGGTTTGAACAACCTGGAGCAAGGCTTGAGGGGAACCCCTGCCCAGATGTCCTGAACCTGTCCTTTCAGAGTCACAGAGCCAGGCAGCCCCAGGGTGACACTGGGCTATGCATCCCAACTCCCCACATCCTCACTTCCTGCCCCAGGTTTCTCTTCTGTAAAATGGGGTTTGCCTGAGGGTAGAAACTGGGCTCCCAGTGCCAGGAACCCGAGGGGGCTCAAGACAGAGGAACCTTCCAAGCCTCTTCCCCAGACTCTGAGCTAGAGGGAGAACTAGCCCAGGAAAGGAACTTGGAGACCCCTTGAGGTAGGTGTCCTTGGCAGGTCTGCCTTCCTCCCTCTGAGTGGGGACCTTAGTGCCAGTAGCTGGGCCTGGAGGCAGAGGGCAAGTTGGAGGAGTAGCCGAGGAGGAGGTTGAAACGGGGCCCAGGGAAGAGCAGAGTTTGGAGATGGGGGAATGGAACAGTTTGCTGGGGGGAAAGATGCCACCTGGAGGGGTGTGTGGGAGCGGGGAGGTCTTCTCTTGGAGGTAGAGTTGGAGACAAACAGCGTCAAATCACCCTGCTTGTGAGAAATAGAGCCCCGGGTCCTGGCAGGATGGGGAGATCTCTGACACCCTTGCTCGCAGTGTGGCCATCCTTTTATACCTGAGCTACAAGTACCAGATAGACACACACTGGTACCCACCTCAGCTGCAAGCCTGCACCCACATCAGGGAGTACCGGGTATGGCAGCACACCGCCATCCAGCAGCCTTCCACCAACGTTTACCTGTGCAAGGTGAAACTATTTACTCTATTGCACAGGAATGGACAAGAGCCAGGACCCCCAGAGCTGGAAGGAACCAGTTTACCCACATTCCTCCTCCCAGCCACTGCCCCTGGCAGACATCGCTAATCTATCACAGCCCTCTTTCCCCTGAGCCTGAATGAAACCTCAGAATCCTTCTGAACACAGAGCCCAAAAGGGCATCACTAATGGCTGGTGGCTGGGAAGGAGGGGAGAGAAGGCTGAGGAGCTTGGAGGAGCCCAAGATAAGCCGTTCCTTTTCTTCCCTGCCCAGTCTTTCCTGCCCCACTTCTTGGGGCAGCCTGTGGATGCCACACAGCTGGTGCAGCTGTTGGGAAGGCTGATGTCTGCTCTGCAACACCAGGATCCAGAGGCCCTGGTGGCCAAGCCCTTCCTGGTGACTGAGCAGGTCTCCCTGGTGGAACCGACGGTGCTCACGGAGCGGATGCAGGTGAGATTCTCCTGTTTGCTCACCCTCTGGGGGGTACTCTGGGCTGGGCTGAACCTCCAGCTCCAGCTGCCCTGTCTTCCCAGCCCACTGCTGTCGGCTGACCTCCTCCGAGAGTGGCCCCGGCTGGCGGTATGACAGGTCCGCATGGAGGCTGTTCTGGGCCCCGAGCTCGTCTAGGAGGCCCACAGGCTTGTACTTCAACCTTGGGAACCCCAAGAGGCCCAGCAGGAACCCCAGCTGGCCCAGGAGCTGGTGCCGCGGCTGCAGGAGCGGCTCCACTGAGAGGGGTGCTGCCCGCTCTCCTGCACCCTGCTATCTGCAATAAACATGCCGTGTGTCCTCCACTTGTCTCCAGCCTTTCTCTGCCCCAGGAAGTGGGGTCCCTCACTTCTGAGTGGACAGGGACTCTCTCAAGATCACACAGCAGAGAGTGAGCCTCACTCAGGCCTTGCCACTAAATTTCTCAGTGCTGAGCTCCAGGTGCATGGCCGGGCCGCCCCAGGCTGGAAGTTTCTGGGCTCCTCTGCATGGCACAGCCTGGCCGGCCACCCCTTGACTTCTCTGTGGCGTTGTTCCCAATGCTCTGACAGCTGTCCAGGCCCCTGTTTTTCTTTTTTCCAATCCTTTTCTAGTCACAATTAAAGCTGGATTGAGCAGTGAGTATTCCCAATCATTGCTTTGAAATCCTCCAGGGCTGGTTTTCCCAGCCCATCCTCCTTCCGGTCCCTGCAAAGCCCCTTTGGTCACGTTCCACAATGAAGGCCTGGCCCTGGGAACTCCTATGTGTAAGCCTTTCTCAGAAAGCCATGGGCGAACACATGTGCACAAGGGAGGAGAAAGGCAAAGTCACAGTCACCCCTCACTCCCCTGCAACTCCAGCCCTCCGTTCCGAGCCAGGGGTCTTTCCTAGCCTACTCCCAGGAGAGACTAGGCAGAGAAGAAAGGGGCAGCTTCTCTTGGGCTCCTCCAAGCTCCTCAGCCTTCTCTCCCCTCCTTCTCAGCCACCAGCCATTAGTGATGCCCCTTGGGGCTCTGTGTTCAGAAGGATTCTGAGGTTTCATTCAAGCTCAGGGGAAAGAGGGCTGTGATAGATTAGCGATGTCTGCCAGGGGCAGTGGCTGGGAGGAGGTATGTGGGTAAACTGGTTCCTTCCAGCTCTGGGGGGCCTGGCTCTTGTCCATTCCTGCACAATAGGGTAAATAGTTTCATCTTGCACAGGTAAACGTTGGTGGCAGGCAGCCGGGTGGCAGAATCCTGCTGCTATGAGAATTCCAGGCTTCATGGCTTCATGACAATACCAAGTGAAACAAAAAGTTCCAGAATGCGGGGTCTTGGGCCTGGGTTGGAGAGGGCTGGCTGACACAGGACCAAGGGGCTCAGGCTCAAGTTCAGGGCCTGCTGACCACAGCTGGAGAGGGCCTAACATATGTTTCAGCATGGGCCTGGAGCTCTACCTGGACCTGCTGTCAGCATCCTGCCGCGCCGTCTACATCTTCGCCAGAAAGAACAGCATCCCCTTCGACTTTCAGTTTGTGGATCTGCTGAAAGGTTGGCATCCAGTGCTGTCTGGGCAGGTCTAGTCTTAGGAGTAGGCGATGCACAAGTTCAGGGTATGTCTGAAAAGTGGAGACTGAGACTGGGGAGACTGTTCTCTCCCAAGTCCACAGGGGAAGAAAAGGTTCCCAAGGAATTGTAGGCTGTGCTGCTGTGCAGCCTACCTTTACCAGTCCCCACTAATTCTGCCCCACTGCCATGAACAGGCTTTCAGAAGGCAAAGTCGGAGAAAGAACTGTGGAAGAGCCCCTGGGCTTCCACCCAGTACCTCACCTTCTCCTTGTGGGAGTCTAGAATCTTGCTAGCTGTAGCACCTGTCAACAAGGTTGGCAAAGGTCGCAGAGGTGTCTGGTCCTCTAGCATCTAAGAGTCCAGATACTGCTTTGGGCCACACCCATCCTCTCCCAATGTTCAAGCCTGCTGAGGGTGACATAGACACTGGTGAGGCTCAGGGCACCAGTCTCCAACACTCCCAAGCACAGAGGGCACTCTTAAAGCTCAACTTGCAGAGGCAGAAGCCTCTAGAACATAGAGGAGGATATCCAGGAACTACAGAAATGAACGGGTTATGAGTGGAGCCCCAGAAATGTTTCCAATAAAGACAGCTTAAAGCTTCTCCCCACTACATTGGATGGATTGCATGTGAAAGCCTCCCTTTTGGATTCCAGCTGTGTGCTGGGGCTGGGGCTCCCGGATGCAGGCGGTGGCTTCAGGCTCCGAGTTAGGGGTGGGACAGGCAGCCTCCAGCTTCAGTGAGCCAAAGGGTTTTCCTGGTCACGGAGCCTGGGATGGGAGCAGGAGTCCTGATCCTGACCCCCGTTCTGACCTGGGTTGAGCCATGATGTCCTCTGGGCCTCAGTTTCCCCTTTTTAAGTAAATAGAGAGAAAGGCATTTCTGCCTCTGGTAGGCCTACCAGAAGCCTCAGACCTTCCCTGCCCTTCTCAGGTCAGCATCACAGCAAGGAATATACTGAGATCAATCCCCTGAAGAAGCTGCCCAGCCTCAGAGATGGAAAATTCGTCTTATCTGAAAGGTAACAGTTTTGCTGGGGCCCTTCCTCCATCTGTCTCTGCTCCTCCTGGGAGATTAACCTGGAGTCAACCTGCCAGTATTTATTTACTTCTTTTACTATGGAAAATTTTACACATACACTAAAGTAGAATGAATACTAACTAATGAGGATTGTATCAACCTCCACGTACCCATCACCCAGCTCCAACACTCCTTTGCTCAGAGGCCCATTTTGCATCATTGGTACCCTAATCTATTTCCCTACTTCCTGGCCACTCCATCATTTTACCCATAAATGTTTAGGAATGTACTTCTAAAAGATTAGGGCTCTTAAAAACCAAAACAAACAAAAAAACCTTACCACCGCAATACCACGATGACATCTAATATAATTAACAATAATTCCTGGATTTCATCAAATATCCAGTTCATGTTCAAAAGTCTCTGATTACCTCGTAAATATTCCCTTTGCAGTTCATGTGTTTGAATCGAGGTCCAGATAAGCTGCAAGTATTGCAATTGATTGATCTGTCTCTTAAATCTCTTTTAATCTCCAGCCCCTTCCAAGCCCCAACTTTTACCTTTGCATCTTTGTTGTGGCCGAAGAAACCAGGTCTTTTGTTCTGTGGGGTTTCCACCGTCTGAATTTTGCTGACTGCATTCTCATGGCGTCATGGAACATGGTATTCTATCCCTTCATTTCCTGTAAATTGATAGTTGGATCTAAAGGTTTGGTAAGATTCAGAGTTGATTGGTTTTCAGATTACTTCACAGGTGGTCTCATAATTTTGAAGTATACCTCCCAAGTGGACAACAGACAAGGGCCTAGTATTTTCCTGCTATAACAAAGTACCACCAACTGAGTGGCTTAGAACAACAGAAATGTATTGTCTCACAGTTCTGGGGGCTACAAGTCTGAAACCAAGGTGTTGGTAGAGCCATGCTCCCTCTGAAGGGGCTGGGAAGTGTCTGTTCCAGGCCTCTGTCCTAGATTCTGGTAGCCTCAAGGTTTCCTTGGTTGGTGGGTGGTCATCTTCCTCCTGCGTCTCTTCACACTGCCTTCCTTCTGTGTATATCTGTGTCCAAATTTCTTCGTTTAATAAGGACACCAGTCATATTCGATTAGAATCCATGGTAACGACCTTACTTTAACTTGATTACCTCTATAAAGACCCTATGTCCAAATACAGTCACAATCTGAGGTTTACCGAGCATTGGGACTTCAACATAACTTTCTGGAGGGATAATATTCAACCTGTAACAGTCTGCTCTCCGCCCCACCCCTACCCCCCCATTTCATGTACTTCTCATATGCAAAATGTGTTCACTTCATCTCAATATCTCCAAAAATCTTAATCATCCCAGCATCAACTCAAGTCCAAAATGTCAATGTCTAAATCCAAATCAGGTAGGGGTGAGAGTCAGGGTATGGTTCATTCTGGGCCAAAATTCCCCTCCATCTGTGAACTGTGATAGGTCATCCTGTTTCCAAAATCCCATGGGGGGTCAAGAATGGGATATATATTCCCATTTCAAAACAGGAAGAGGAAGAGGAAGAGGAAGGAAAAGAGGGTTCATGTATTTCAAACAAGCCTGAAACCTAGCAGAGCAAGTTGTACTAGATTTTAAGGGCTGAGAATCATCTTCTTTGGCCGCATGCTCTATTCTATGGGTGACGGCCTCATCCTCTGGAACCAAGGAGGCCAAGGCCCGGCCCCTACCTCACTATCCCGCTTTGGGCCTGTAGCAGCAGGACAGCCCTGTTGGACTCTGAACCTCCCTCGGGGCCATTCTTCCCTTTTCTTGAAGGCTAACACACATTGCAGTTGAATAGCTCCATCAGCCCATTTCTCAGAAGTCCAACAGCCTTCCTTCATTTTACCCCAACTCAGTCCCCTTTACTCCAGGCTGGTGTGTTTCTACTGAAATGGTTGATTGGATCCACAAGTCATGTATCTAATCTCTTTAATAAACAGTTGTCCAGCCACATCCTTGGCGTTCTTTCTGGAGCAGGACCTCAACCTCAGCATGCCAAGGCTCCTTCTCTCTGCCTTTGGCCTTATTATGCCACATTCTCGTCCTGGTGGTCCCTTCCTCCCCAGCTCCCAGTCTGGGCCTTAGAATGATGTGCTCTTCTCATCTGGTAAATCCACTCCCATCCCCCTATCCCCTCCAGCCTCTCAGGTGTGTCTATTAGAGCACTTAGTGAGGGGCTAAAGATGGCTGCAAATGGCAGAGACCCTACTGAACCAGTTTGAGTTTACTGGAAGATGTGACAAGCCAGGGGAATCTGGGCCTGGCTACTGTGGTGCTGATGTTCTTTCCACCCATATCACCTATGGGGCTTCTCTGAGGGCGTGTCAGCCTCCTCCCCTCATTTCTGTACACTTGCAGCTTTGTAGCCATATCTTCGGAGTACCTGGTTCTCCGGAAGGGAGAAATTCCTCCTTCTTAGGAGATCTGAAATTCCCAGGGAAGGACAAGGATGGGCCCAGTCCTTCTTCTCAATGACGGGGGCACTGAGACCTGTGACTGCCAGCTGTTCCCTCCGGAATCATTTGGTTGGAGATGGCAGAGCAGGTTCCTGTGGGAAAAGTAGGGGAAAGAGGGCTGGGCAGACAGAAGGCCAGGTACCTAGTCAAGGGTCATCTCAGGGGCTGAGGCAAGCAGGGGTGCCTGTCCCCCAGGAGGTGGGGCTCCTCTAGTCATAGTGAGCCCTGGTCTTCTCTGGGGGTCAGGAAATGTTTGAGAACATGCTGGTGCATATGGGTCCCCTTTGGCCCTGATGCTCCCAGAGTGGGAGCTGGGAGGGCTAACATCAGGGAATAGCATTGGAGGGCAGAATTTCAAGGTTCAGGACAAAGAAACACAGAGAGTACGGTGGTGTGGACAGTGGGCTCGAGCAGGGGGCGCAGGCCTCAGACAAGCTGGAAGGAATCGGTCAGATCTGGGAGCCACTGACAAGCCTGCTCAGAGCAGTCATGACCTAGGACTGGCCACCAAGAGTCACAGAATGGGCAGGGGTGTTACGCCAGTGAGGCAAGACTCTGCCTGCCTCTCAAGCCTCCTGCAGAGGCTGAAGACCAAATGGTCTTGCTGTCAATTTACTCTCCATTGTGCACTTCCCTCAGCTCCTCCCTTCCCCCACCCCACCTGACCAAGGTCACCAGCTATGCCAGGTAGTCAAGAAAGGTGGCAGGGCTCATGCTTGAGGCTGGGCTGCTGGGGTCAAACCGATTCTGCCACTCATGGGATATGTGTCTTTGGCAAGTTAATTGTATCTCTGAGCCCGTTTCCTCAAATGTGGGTAGAGAACACATCGATTTCCGCCTTGTGGGGTTAATGTGAGATCAGTTGAGACCATTCAGGATTTAGGACTGCCCTCCTTCTCCAGGACCTCCCTCCTCCTTCTTCCCTCCCAGGCTGTTCCTTCTCCTCTTCTTCCCCCTCCATCCAGCTCTGCTTCCTCTGACCTTCTGACTCTGCCCAGGGGACCCTACCTGCTGCATCCAGCACCCGCGGGAGCTTTCTAAAAGTCAAGGTGGATCTTCTCATCCCACTGCTTATATAATCCATAACCTTGACGGTTAAATCCATGTCCTCCCTGCATCTCTGAGGGCCTCCCTGTCTCTAGCTGTCTCTAATCACTCCTTACCCACTCCCTTTTTTCCGTTATACTCTCCTTTCTCCAAATTTACCATGCTCCTTTTTACCCCAGTGTTTCCACTCACGCTGTTCTTTGTCTGGACTGTTCCTCCTGACACCATCCGCCAACTCCCACTCACCCTGCAGGGTTTCTCTTTCTGTCCTTGCTGACTGGCAGACGGACCTGACAGACTTTCCCAGGGCCTTTGGGCCCATCCTTCCCCTGGAAGAATGTGAATGCCTAGAGTGCACCTGTGGCTGGAGCCACATTGGGCCCAGGCCACGCTGGGGTGGTGTATCGGAGTCGGGGAAGGCAAGAGAAGTGCTCTGACCTACCCTTTCTGCAGCGCGGCCATCCTCTTGTACTTGTGCCGCAAGTACAGCACCCCCTCGCACTGGTACCCACCAGACCTGCACATGCGCGCCCGTGTGGATGAGTTCATGGCCTGGCAGCACACGGCCATTCAAATGCCCATGAACAAGATACTTTGGATCAAGGTAAGTGGTTCGCGGCTGGGGCTGACCACTGATGAGCTCAAGCTAGTGTCCCTCCTTGAGCCTCATTTCCTCAGCGCCCTCTCCCACCTGCCTAACAGAGATGTCGAGAGTGTGGAGTGAACCACAGGATATGAAAGAGCTTTGTCAAGGCAAGGGGAGGGGCACCGAGGAGGGGCTGATCTCACTCAAGCCAGCATAGAATTCAAGAAATTTCATTCTGAACTAGAAAATATCAGAGTTGAAGGGCCCATAGAGACCACCAAATATACTGTGTTGCTTAATGATAGGGATACATTCTGAGAAATGTGCTGTTAGGCAATTCTGTCATTATGCAAACATTATAGATTGCACTTAGACAAACCTAGATGATAAAGTCTGCTACACGCCTAGGCTATATAGTAGAGCCTATTGCTTCTAGGCTATAAACAGTGTGTTACTGTACAAAACAACACAAGATTAAATCAAGCACAAGAGAAAGATGCAATCAAGAGATGGGATAAACATGGGGTGTATGAGGCTATTGCCAATGTAACATACCATATTGTTTTACAGCAAATTTTTTTTTTAAGTAGAAAGAATACACTCTAAAATAACGATCAAAGGTATAATATAGCAAGTTTGTAAACTAGAAACAGCCTTTTATTATCATTATCAAGTATTATGTACCATATATAATTGTATGTGCTATACTTTTATATGACTGTAGTGAAGTAGGTTTGTTTATACCAGCATCACCACAAACACATGAGTAATGCATTGCATCATGATATTATGATGGCCACATTACTAGGTGATAGGAATTTTTCAGCTTCATTATAATCTTATGGGACCACCATCATATATGCGATCCATCACAGTACATGTGCTCCTATATCTTATCCTATGCCTGTGACAGACATCACTAATCAATCACATGATTCCTTCCTGCTGGGATCTCAAAATGCTTCTGAACAATGGCCCCAGGTAACTTATAGCAACCAGAACTGCTAAAAGAGGTGAAACCACTTTATCTCCTTGGTTCTGTCCAATACCTCTCTAGCAGACAAGGGCCAGAGGTGACTGGAGTACAGCCCTGTCCTCCCTCCTCTCTCCCACCCTGGCTAGCTGCTGATCCCGATGATCACAGGTGAGGAGGTTCCAGCTGAGAAGACAGAGGAGATGATAGCAGAGGCAAACAAAAACCTGCAGCTCTTCGAGGAGAAGTTTCTGCAGGACAGAATGTTCATCACTGGGGACCACATCTCACTGGCTGACTTGGTGGCCCTGGTGCAGATGATGCAGGTGTGGAGTGTGGTGGGGGGGAGACAGAGCCCAAGACAGAGGCGGGACTCCCCTGTGACCAGTTGGGCATAACTTGAGGATAGGCAGGTGAAGGCAGGATACATTTGGGCTGTGGGAGCCAAGTCTGGGTGGCTGGAGGCCACAGGAAACATAGAAAGTTTTGAACCAGGGAGGGTCATGATCATCATACTTCGCAAAAATTCCTCAGTGGGGAGGAGCTAGAGGGTGAGCCTGGGATATGGAGAAGCACACAGCGTTTCTTGGTTAGTCAGCCAGGATCCTGGATGCCTCCTCTCCTGACAGACTCTCCAGGAAGTGTCCAGAGGTTTCCAAAGTGTCCGTCTAGCTGAGCTCTATACAGCTGTACAGAGCAGTTCCCTTGGCTCTGGGTTTGAGGGGCATTCACTGTGCGTTTGGGTGTATACGCGGGTATGGGGCATTCATTCAGGGGAGGTGGCCAGTTTTGAGCTAGTTGGTGTGCAGGCTGGCCAGTTTAGACCCTAGCCAATGTCTTGTGAGGCCAGCATAACCTCTGGCCAGTTGCAAAGCGGTCACTTTGGTCCTTGGTCAGCATGCAGCACAGGCCAGCACCAGGAAAAACCATTCCAGTTTTTCTGTTCCAAGTGGTGCAGCCCCTACATTTCACCCTCCACTCCTTGCATGTTTCCCAACCCACTCCCTTTTGAGCTTCTCTAACATCTTGGGTGCACATTTCTTAGGCTGCCTGCTGGGTCTCCCATTCCAGCCCTTGTGCTTGACCACAGAGGGAGGCTCAATGTGGGGAAAAAGAACTGATTCCACCCACCCTCATCTACGGACAAAGGGTTTCCCTGTAAGAAGACAGGACTTATGAGAGTTTCCACACTGGAGAAGCGGGAACCACCTGGGCCAGGGCTTACCTCAGAGAAGGATTTAGGAGCCTTGAGGCAAGACCAGTGACTAAGAACCCTGGGGAATTCTGGGTCTTCCACCCCCATCTCACATCTATTACAGAGCCTGTGACCCCTGGTGTAGGCTTCGGAGGATGGCAGACTGAGGCTGTAGGAGGGGACCCAGGTGAGGCTGGTCCCCAGACCAACCACACCTCCTCTTTGTCTGTACACAGCCCATAGGGAGCAACCACGATGTCTTCCTCAACAGCTCCAAGCTGGCAGAGTGGCGCATGAGGGTGGAGCTGGCCATTGGCTCTGGCCTCTTCTGGGAGGCCCATGACCGGCTGGTGAAGTTGGTAGAGTGGGACTGTTCAACGTTGGATCCAATGGTCAAGGAGAGGATCTGTGACTTGCTACACAAGTTCAAGTAGAAGCAGCCCATCCTGCAGAGCCTGGCTAGCTCAGCTCTCTGAGCCTCTTTCCTTGGCAGAGATGCCGAAAATGGCCCTGTTTCTTTGCCTAATAAAGAACTGGAACAACCACCATGGCTGCTGAGCCTGCGACTGCTGGTGTGAGCAAAAGGTCTAATGTGGGAGTGGGTGGGAGTGGGTCCTGCCAGCTTCCAAAAAGAATTTAAAAATTCTGTAATTTTTAAATTCTTTAATGTTTAAATTCTTTAATGTTTAAATTCTTTAATTTTAAAAATTATTTAAATATGATTAAACTGCCAATAATAACAGTTGACTTCAATACTCCACTATTGTTAATGGATAGAATGAGACAGAAGATCGTCAGGGCAAGAGAGGACTTGAAAAACACTATAAACCAATTGGATCTACTAGATACACACACAGAACAACTTCACTCAAGAACAGCAGAATAAACATTCTTCTGTGCACATGGCATGTTCTTCTCAAGTTTAAACATGGAAATCATACAGTGTATGTTCTCTGAACACAATGGAATGTACCAGAAAGTCTGGCTCCAGTGTCCACGCTCTTAGCCCCTCGCTCTAGAGATCCTGGTTCTGGCAGTGTCAAAGTGACAGGGCTTCTGGTCAGTGTTTCGTGTTTACTCACTTCACTCCAATTCCATGGCCCAGCATTTGACAGCCTTGGTCTTCCTGCTCCTGCCAGCACCGTGCCTCCCATCCCCTGGGTTTGTGTCTTTCCTTCTCTGTTTCTCCATCTTTAAAATGATGAGGAGCGATCCAGCAATCCCCACTTTTGGGTACACACCTAAAGGAAATGAAAACAGGATGTCGAAAGCTTTCTTGATCTGTAAATCACATCTGTAAAATCGCGATGGTAGGACATTCTGATACTTGCTACAATATGGGAGAACCTTGAAGACATTATACTAAGTGAAAGGAGCCAGTCACAAAGGACTAGGACTGGGGGTCCTCAGCGTCACCCTCCGAGGGGCGATATTCCTTGTTGCCACCCCTCCTTCTAGCCCCAGAGCCCCTGGCTTCAGCCTTTCAGGCACACCAGGTCGCCAGTGTTTGGGCCAAAGTCTGGTTCCTGGAGCCGCCCAAAGAGGAACCGGCCTCCAGGGGGCGTGGTTGTCTCTTGGGAAACTCCGCACCAGTGCTGGCGTTTCCTGCGTCCTTTGGATCCCGAGTCTGGTTCCGTGGCACCGGTCATGGGCCTGGAGCTCTACCTGGACCTGCTGTCCCAGCCCTGCCGCGCTGTCTACATCTTCGCCAAGAAGAACGGCATCCCCTTTGAGCTGCGCACCGTGGAGCTGCTCAAAGGTGGGCCCGACGGCGGAGTTTGGGGAACCGAGAGGTAGGGGAGGAATGGAGAGGCCAAATATTGCTTAGGGGCACCCCTCCCTGCGCCACCCACTTCTTGGGGCCATCACCGGAAAAGGTGGGTCACAAAGAAGATCCGAGAGATTCGAGTAATCTCCCAAAGTCTGGTGGTGCCGTGGACAACAGGCCAGGGCTCAGCTGAGGCCGAATAAAGGGGCGGGGGAGGGATGGAAGGTGGGGAGTAGGGAGGAGGAAAGAAGGAGAGATCTGGCGAAGAAAGGGGTGCAACTGGGCATAGGGACAGGGGACCTCTGGAAGAGAGATGCGGCAGGAGGAGAGAGGTTAAAGGGGCCTAGTGTAGAGACTAGGACAGAGGCTAGTCCCTCCTTGGTGGCCTTCAACTGCTGAAATTTTGCAACAGCAGGGCTAGCTCTATGTCCTCAGTGCCCAGGGCTGGGTGAACAAGAGGACACAGAGGGCCCAGTAGAAGTTGGTTATAATTAAATAGATACCAGGAAAAGGCCACTTCTCTGTGTTTGGTGGCTCTACTTAGGGCACTGTAAGAAGTCAGAGCTCCTTTCAGGTGACTAGCTACTCTGCCCTTGCAGCTTGGGACACCCAAAATGTGAGCTCATGAAGCTGGTGATGATGCAAAGGCGGTAAGTGGGGTGCATGTGAAGGCTTGACTGGGGCACCTTGCCCTGCAGCATGAGCTCTGTTGCAGAGGGGCGGGCTGTCGGGGGAAGGTTATGGCCCTACTCCGGGCCTTGGCCAGGGTGTCCAGGTCTATTTTGCACCACTTGGCAGAGCAGCCTCCTGCCCTTCCCACAGCGGCCCCTACCAGCCCTTTACCACACAGGAGAGCAGCCAGGGGCTGGGAAAGAGCTGTGAAATTGGGGTCTGGGCATTGCAGGGAGTGGAAACAGGCCATACAGGGCACATTTTCCCAGTACCCATAACGATGTGCTCTCTGCAGGCCAGCATCTCAGCAATGCCTTTGCCCAGGTGAACCCCTTGAAGAAAGTGCCTGCCTTGAAGGATGGGGACTTCATCTTGACTGAGAGGTAACTACAGCCCCAGGCTGCTACTAGACCTTGCTGGAACAATCTTGTCCTAACCCTCTACTTTATAGACAAAAAAACAAAAATCCTGAGAGGTGAAGGGCCCTTTGCCCTATATCCTAAAGAGTCAGGCCTGGACCCCAGGCCCCTGTGTGTTCACACAGGGATGGTTGGAAAAGCAAGCACGTATTTTACTTTTATACCAATCCTGTGATTGTTGGTGAGCGTAGCCTAAGGCAGGGGGGCAGGGCATGGCAGCTTCACCCCCCATAGAGGCCTCCTCTGGCCAAACTTGCTTCAAGATGGCCCAGGAGTGTCTGGGCTATCCAGTGACTCCATCTCCGAGCTACAGCTTCCATGGGTGGGCCTCATCCTTGGGAGGACCTCCAGGCATGTGGACATTTTACATCACCACAGGTCCCAAGAAGTGGAAACCTCTTCAGGAAAGGCCGAACATTTTTCTAGTTCTGCCCCTTTCGTCACATAAGTCATCCCTACCACAAAAAGGAGAACCTGGAGCTTTAGAACTTATCTCTGAAATCTTAAGATGATACACCCCCAAAGAATTTCTCAGACATTCTGCCACCACCGTTTTTCCTTCCTGCGGCCCCTACTGTCCTGAGCCCTTGTGTCGCTGGTGTTGAGCACCCACGGCTACCTGCCAGGGGCAACATGCAATATCTGCATTTGTCTGTCTCTTTTCTCCCCCTTGGGATGTCTATGGCTCCCAGGGACCTGCTGCCTTCCTCAGAGTTGACTTGAACGATTAGCTGGGAGTGAGAGAAGTTCAAGTATCTTGCACAGACGAGTGAATTGTTAAACTAGGCTTTGGGGGCAGGATTCCTAATAGGAATATGGGCCGGTGGCAGATACAGAGATTTTCTGCTTTTTTGGCTGGAGTTCCCAGCCCTTAGGACATCCCAAGTTCCTGAAAGCCTTCGTGTGGGCCCAAATTTACACACCCTCAGTGCCCTTTCCGGTCCACCCCTGTCCCAACACCACGACAGCCCTCATAACCCAGGGCAGAAGGAGGGCTCTAGGGGCTCGTCTGTTCTACTGTTCCACCATCCTGCAGCAGCCCCAGTGTTTCCTACAGGGGAGAACAAAGGGATGAAAAGAACAAGAGGAGGACAGGAAAGCTAATTTGAGCAGTCAGGTCATCTGAGGCTTGTCCGAATGCCAGGTGATGAGAGTGGTTGCAGACTGGACAGAACTGAGCTTCTTTAAGGCTCAGCTTTGCTGCCATCTCCTGCAGGAAGGTCTGGCCTTCCCATCAAGAACTGTCTCTGAGCACATGGCAGGACACTCTGCTGTGCGATATTGCCTGGTGGTAGGATGAGTTCGGGTGTTAGCCTCAGAAAGACTCTCAGCAATGCCACCAAAGGCCGTGTCTCTGGGCAAGTCCATTCACTATTCTAAGCCTGGCTTCCTTGTCTGTAAAATGAGGCAAATATCTTGACTCATTATCAGGAAGATTGAAGAAACCCCTAGCTCAGTACCTTTCCCACAACCATCATGTTCTCCCCTCCCCTGCAGTGTGGCCATATTGCTCTACCTGACCCGCAAGTATAAGGTCCCTGACCACTGGTACCCTCAGGACCTGCAGGCCCGTGCCCGTGTGGATGAGTACCTGGCATGGCAGCACACAACCCTGCGGAGAAACTGCCTCCGGGCCCTGTGGCATAAGGTAAGGCCCCTGGGGTGGGGTAGGGAAGACAGCGAGGGCATCACCCCCAAAGGAGCTCAGGCGCTATTGCATTCTTCTTTTTAGTTTGGATAGTTTCTAATGACATGACTTTGACCTCACTAATTTTCTCTTCTGTTGTGCCCAGGTTGCTGTTAAGCCCATCTAATCCATTCTTTACTTGAGATATGTACTTTTTCAGTTTAGAATTTTTTTTTTTTTTGAGTTTCCATTGCTCTGCTGAAATCCACCATCTGCTTACCAATTTGATCCATCTTCTCTTCTAAATTCTTTAACACATTTATAATAGTTACTTAAAAGTCTCTGTCTTACTTTCAACACCTGGATTCTCTGTGAGTCTGTTTCCATTGGTGTTTTTCATCTTCTTGATTATCTGTCATATTTTCTGCTTTCTTTGCATGTCTCAGTTTTTTATTGTGTGCCAGACATTATGTATGAGTAGAGATTGAAGTATGTAATAAGTACCCCTTTAAAGGCTTGCACTTTTCTTCTGTCAGGAAGCATCAGTGGTAGGTTAGTTTCTTTCAGCTAGTCTGGAGGTGGGCTAGGTTGTGGCTTTAGTTAGTTTCAGTTCATCTCTGGTTTCAGTTATCTTGAAGGTGGGATCCGGTTGCTTGCTTGCTTTCTCCAGCAGGGATTTGGAACTTAAGTACCAACTACATGTCAAAAAAGTCCCATAACAATGGCGAGCTTGTACCCTGCCTTCTTGGACCCCAGGAATGAAAGAGGCTAATCCAGGAAGGGCTCATGTCCTCTAAAATTTGATTAATTTAGTCCAGTGCTGAACAATGGAAGCATAAAGTGAGCCACATATGTCCTTTAAAATTTCCTAGGAGCCACATTTAAAACGTAAAAAGAAACAGGTGAAATAAATATATTTCACTTAACCCAATATATTCAGAATATTATCATTTCGGCCAATAAACACATGAAAAGATGCTTGGCATTACTAGTCATTAGAGAAATGCAAATTAAAACTATAATGAGATATTACTACACACCTATTAGAACAACTAAAATAAAAAATAGTGACAACACCAAATATATATACACACACACACACATCACAAAAATTAAAAATAAAATTACCAAATGGTCCAGCAATTTCATTTCTGGATATATTCCTAAAATAATTGCAAGCGGGGTCTCAAATAGATATTTTTACACTTATGTTCATAATGGTATTATTCACAATAACTAGTAGTGGAAACAACCCTTGTGTTTATTGACGGATGAATGGAAAAACAAAATGTTGTACATTCATACGATAGAATATTATTTGGTCTTAAGAAAGAAAGGAGTTTTGACACATGCTACAACATGGATGTACCTTGAAAACATTTGCTAAGTGAAGTAAGCCAGACACAAAAGGACAAATATTGTATAATTCCACTTATATGAGTCACCTAGAGTAGTTAAATTTGTAGAGACAGAAAGGAGAATGGTGGTTGGCAGGGGCTCGGGGGAGGGACAGAGGGGAAGTTTTTGGATGGGAACAGAGTTCCAGTTTTGCAAGGTGAAGACAGTTCTGGAACCGTAGTGGTGATGGTTGCACGACAATGTGAATGTACCTAATGCCACTGAACTGAACACTCAACAGTGGTTAAAATGGTATATTTTATATTATATGGTTTTTTTTTTTTTACCAGAATTAAAACATTTTTAAATATCACTGTGTAATCAATAGAAAAATTATTAATGAAATATTTTTCTTTTTTTTTCTAAGTCCTCAGAATCTGGTGTATGTTTCACAGGTACAGCACATCTCAGCTAGAACCAGCCACATTTCAAAAGCTCAGTAACCGCTTGAGGCTGGTGGCCACCATATTGGACAGTATGGGTTTAGGCTTTTTTTCTTTTTTTCTTTTCAAATTCTGTAACTCTTTGATGGCTTGACAGAAAAATAAGGTTATTTATAAATAAGGTCCTTAGGGTGGAAACAATGGTATTTTTGCGACCTTTGATAGCCTAATCAGCAATGGAACTCTTTTTAAAAAATGTGTGGCTAATTCTGGATCGTGAGTTTTATTGTTCTTTCTCATATCATTTTTAATATAAGAAAGAAACATTAGAGAACAAAAGTCAAAAGACCTCTTTGTTGAGCTCACTCCTTCCCAAGAGAACACCCCACTCTGGGATCTGGGACAAGTCTTTCCAGTTCATGATTTTATACATTGCTACAATTACGTATAGCCATAAGCAAAATAAAGTTTTGCTTTGAGTGCTTAAATTTTTAAATGAATGCTCTCATACCATTCTGCAACTTGCATTTTCCTTGTTGCTATGGGTAGGTCTAATTTATCCATTTTCACTACTCTGTAGTATTTCATTATGTGAATAAATCTTAATTTACTTATTAACCAATTATGGTCTTTTATATTTAAAGAGGAACAAAAACACTTTTTTAAGACCCTAAAAACTTTGGAATCACCCAGTTGGAACAGAAGGGAAACGTAGACCTTCTCTTGCAAGGGGGAGGCAGGTAATAAATGAGGGAGATGGGCTAGGTGAGGTCCAGCCCACTGGGAGCACATGTGCCCTTCCTTCTTCAGGCATCAGCCTTAGATGCCAGGCAGGGGTACCAGGTAGCAATGCTCCCTTTATGTTAAAAAGAAACTGGAAATCTGGACTTTTGTATGAAATGTCTCCATTTTTAAATGTCAATAGCTGATCTATATTTTTTAAAACTCTGGAGCCAAAGGAATGTCATTAGCCCAGCACTGGCCTGTGATCGCTAATCCCACCTTGTCGTGTCGGGGTGGACTGAAGCCCTGAGCCAGGAGTTTGAGTATAGCCCTAGTCCTGTTTTTCTTTCCTGAATCCCAGCCCAGCCCCCCCAAGCAACTTTACCACACTGAGCATGAAGCCCCACCACCCACCTGTGCTCCCCATCTATTCTGTCTCCCTAACAGCTGCCAAGCCTGAGGCTCTTGATGGCTTTGCCCTAAAAATGCCCTCCTCCCCAAATCCTGGACACCTCTCTCTCCTGGCTCTCCTCCTTAGTCCCTGGTAGCTCCCAGGTCAGAAGTTGTTTATTCTATGCTTGGCTGAGTCTTTTCCTGGCTATGCCATCTCTGGAAATTGATTGTCGCTCTTTGGACCTCACTTTTTTATTTACAAGATAAGTCATGTACTGTTTATTCAAGGAAATTGAAGCTAAGAAGGTTTGTGTATTTTGCCCTAGGTCACACAAATTAATAAGTGACAAAATGGAGACCTTAAAAGCCTGTCCTCATAATTACTTATACTGTAAGAGGAACTGATTTTATATTCAGGAGAAAAAAGATTATAAATTAGATAGTTCTTAAGCCAGCTAGCCCTCTCCTCTCCACCAAAGTATGAAATTCACTGTTTAGGTCCCCTTTGAGTCATTCTCAACGGGGTTTGAGTCCTTTAGAAACCTCTGAAGCTCAGCCAATCAGAGCTCATGAAAGCAGGAATAATTCAGGGAAAAGGGGTTCTTTGGGAATTTTCCTGCAGGCCTACCCAGGATGCAGAAGAAAGGTGCATAGAAATGAGAGGAGGGAGACTTGCTTCCTTCCTCCAAAGCTGGACTGGCCCCTAATCCCCCACTTTGCCTGCCCACTCACTAGGCGATGTTCTCTGTTTTCCTGGGTGAGCCAGTATCTCCTGAAATGCTGGCAGCCACACTAGCAGAGTTGGATGTGACCTTGAAGATACTTGAGGACAAGTTCCTCCAGAAGAATGCTTTTCTGTCCGGGCCCTACATTTCCCTGGCTGACCTGGTAGCCATCACGGAGCTGATGCATGTGAGTACTGTGGGCAAGGTAGGCCCACTTGGCAGGATGAGTTGCTGAAGTCCTGCTCATGCCACCCCCACCTGGCTGTGGGACTGTGCTTGTTTGCGGTAACCTCTTCTGGAGCTGTGTGGTCCCCAAACCAGGAAAGTGCTACTATCCTTGGCCTCACCCATCTACTTCTGTACTGTCCCTT